ATCGATTCCCGCGTGGCTTTTCCTCAGCGCTTGTTCAGCCGTATGCGCGAGATTTGGTGCCTGAATCTACCATCCGACATCTGAATCTATCGCCCTTCGACTAACCCAACATAAATAGCAGCGTATCTCTTCCCCGTTTCTTTCTATTATCAACGAAAGCGTGTACCCGACTGGTGCGAACTTTGAAGGAAGGTGGGGAGGATAAAAGTGGATTTTAAAGCGTGAACTGAAGCGCAGTTATCTTATCTGTCTAACTAGCTGGGAAGGAGGTGTGCCTGTGTATGTATGGATAGTGGCTTAATGCTTTCGTTGGGTTGTTTTATTTATTTGATGGAGTGAGTATATGTAGTATTGAAATGGATGGATTGATTGTGGTTGGGTGGTTGGTCAACTTGTTGTGTTGGTTGCATTGGAAGTGTGGTGCTTTTCGACTGCAGCATTCGTCTGATTTATATTGAAAGAGATAGACTGACAGACGTTGATAGATCAGTGGATAGGGGATGGCTTATGGCTTAGCGAAACAGAGTTGCTGAAATGGTTCAGGCTGAAATCTATGTGTTTACAGTGAATAATTGCAGCTAGAGGGCATTGCTACTCTCGTCAAGAAAATGCGAGTAAGGCTGATGATGCCTGCCTGCCTCTTTCTAGAGACAGCTTGCAGCTGGACTAAACAGCGATCAATATTATCCATTTACTGCTTCATCTGTCCAGCTCTCTGATTCGTTCTCTCGTTATTTATTCCATCACCTCTAGATTTCTTTTGCTCCGAGATATTTTCCGCTTCGTTCGTGTCCAATTCGAACAATCTCTTCTCCCTCCTCTGCATTCAGTATCTATGTCAACATCTCTATCCACCTCTTCTCCAACTCGTACCTCTGTCCATTCCACTTTCGTCTAGTCTTTGTCTTTCTGTGTTCGTCCATTCATTGAGTGTTCAGTTGTTTCAGTCGGTTGTCACCAACCAAAAAAAGAAATTGGAAGTAGAGGGAGGGGAGGGGAGGGAGGTTCAGAGGACTAAACGAAGAAAGACCGACGTTGCTAATGGGAAGAGATAAAAGAAGATGGCTGGTCGTAAGACAGCATAAAACGTTGTATCTAACAAAACTGATTTATATGTAAAGTGCTGTTGAGGTAGATAATGCGATGCGTTGTCGTGCTAACGTAGATTACTGCATCAGAGCAGTGAGTATGAAAGGCGAGGGAGCGAATGCAACACTTTTTATGGGATCTCGAAGAGAAGGTTCGAGCGCGATGGCTCATGCAATGAATCCAGAGGGTATTTCAGTCAGCAAAACGAAGGAAGTTGACCAAATGGAAGTATACAGTAATTTGAAATGACACGATATTGTTGATTATTCAGGGTAGATTACCTAATTTGTAGATTACTGCATCAGAGTTTGATGTTTTCTCCAGTTGTAACCTCAAATTCGAGATTCTCATCACTGGGGAGCACTGCTATAGGCATTTCTGCCACACTTAACATTTAGTTTAATTGGAATTGGTCACTACACATCAGTTGTCATTCACTTGATCACAACGCATGATCGATTATCAGAACAATTTTCAGAACGGCAAACCATTCTAGAAAAATGATTTCTCGAAAAAAAAAAACAGTTCATCTGCCATTAGCTTAATTTAATCAGTCATTAAAGTTGATTTGACCTACTGTTGAAATTGATTTGATCTGTCATTGAAGTTTGGTTGATTTATCGCTGAAATTGATTTGATTAACCGCTCAAGTTGATTTGATCAGTTATTGCTGTTCACAAGATGTATAGTTAAAATTGGTTTGTTCATTCATCAAAATTGGTTTGATGTGATCTAACTAAGCATTCAGATTGGTTTGATCAGTCATTAATGTGGATAGAATCTAACGTTGACATTGGTTTATTCATGTATTGAAGTTAAGTCATGCAGTTATTAAAACTGATTTGATCTGCCATTGAAATGGATTTGATTGAAGTTGGGTTGATCTGCCATTGACTTTGATTTCGTCAGTCACTAATGTTGATTTGATCTAAAGTTGAAATTGGTTTATTCATTCATCGAAATCGAATCGATCCAAAGTTGACATTAGTTTGATCAGTCATTAAAATTGGGTTGATCTACCGTTGAAATTGATTTGATTAACCGTTGAAATTGATCGGGTCGGTCATTAAAAGTGGGTTGATCTACCTTAAAATTGATTTGATCAGTTATTGAAATTGATCTGGTCAATCAAGAATGGGTTGATCTACCATTCAAATGAACACTCACATATTTCATTACCTGAGGTCATTTTAGCAGATACGTTTGCACAAATCGGGTAATATCTACACAGCGAATAGGAATCAAAAATCACACAGCGAGAACAGTGATGTTTCTGTTCCACACTTTTGGCAGATTCTTCTATTTTGTCCTGTTCCGCCCTTCAGTTGTTCTGTTGTTTGCGTCATTTTTCTCGCTGGTCCCTGTTGTCGCTTTGCGGTGCAGGTCCGCCTGAAAGCTTTGTGTATTCTCATTCATATAACATTCACAAACATGATCACGCTTTAAAGTTCCATTAGTACTACGAGAACATAGTCAAATGCATAAAGCCACGCGTGAAGAGGTGAGTGGAATATTAGGAAGTGAATATGGTGACGATTGTTTGGAGATAGTTTAAAAAATTTAGTGAGATGAGATGAGGATTGCAGGTACCGGTGAGTCGGGAAAGTCAACATTTATCAAGCAGATGCGAATCATCCATGGGAACGGATATTCGGACGAGGATAAGCGTGGTTACATCCGACTCGTTTACCAGAACGTGTTCATGGCCATGCAGGCCATGATTCGCGCAATGGATACTCTCGCGATCCCTTATGGCGACCCCTCCTCAGATGTTCGTTTGCGCTGTGTTGATTTGTAATCATAATGGTAATGGTAACAAATAAAAGGTGTTGTTGCAGTTACAGGACAAAGCGAACGTGGTTCGTGCAATCGACTACGAGAATGTGACTTCGTTCGAAGAGCCGTATGTTAGTTATATAAAAGATTTATGGGAAGATAGTGGCATTCAAGAATGTTACGATCGACGAAGAGAATATCAACTCACCGACTCAGCGAAATAGTAACTTTTATGCAATTGTTCTTTCGATTGTCAAGAAACTGTTCAGTTGATTGTATGTGATGTAAACCATCAATATATCAATGTTTCAGTTATCTATCAGATCTAAGGAGGTTAGCTGCACCCAACTATTTACCAACTGAGCAAGATATTCTTCGTGTTCGAGTACCGACCACTGGTATTATCGAATATCCTTTTGATCTGGAGCAGATTATTTTCAGGTAGTGATTATTTTTTCGTTGATTTATTGATTGGACCTTTTTGATTTGCTATCTGATTATTCAGAATGGTTGATGTGGGAGGTCAGAGGTCTGAACGACGAAAATGGATTCATTGTTTCGAGAATGTTACTTCGATAATGTTTCTTGTCGCGTTATCCGAGTACGATCAGGTGCTAGTTGAGTGCGATAATGAGGTGCGTGCATTATTTTGATTATTCGTTTCATTTGCATTTTGTATTATACTGATGAAGCTCAATGATTTATGCAAGTAGTGCTCGTACGAGTCGATAAATAT